ATACAGTATAAGTACATATTACTCACTGAAGAAATATTAGTTGGAAAAAATGACTAGGTAAATACATTTAAAATTTTTTATGAGAATTTCTTCTTCTGTCAACTTATGTTATTGCCAGTAAAATTAATTTTAGAGTTAATTTTTTTTTGAGACGGAATCTTGCTCTTCCACCCAGGCTGGAGTGCAGTGGTACAAACCTCTGGTCTCCTGGGTTCAAGAAATTTTCCTGTCTCAGCCTCCTAAGTAGGTGGGATTACAGGCACCTGCACCACACCTAGCTAACTTTGTGTTTTTAGCAGAAACCGGGTTTTGCCATATTGACCAGGCTGGTCTCAATCTCCTGGTCTCAGGCAATCTGCCCACCTCGGCCTCCCAAAGTGCTGGGATTACAGGCTTGAGCCACCATGCCCAGCCTAAAGTTTAATCTTTAAAATGAGAAATTATCTTCTTAACTGGTTTGTTCTGTGACGATTTTTTTCCTTTCCTTTCAGAACATGAGAAAATGGTGCATCATATTCTCCAGGATATGTACAAAACCAGGATGAAGAAGACTAGAGTTATTCTATGAATGTTACCCATCTCAGGCACGTGCAAGGCTTTATTAGAAGATAGGAAAAAGTGTGCAGAAACATTGCTGGAACCCTGGTCTAAAGCTCCAAACAAAGGGACACAGATTTTATACAAATCTCAAAATAGTCATATGAATAGAGAAGAAGTTACCAATGAATTGGCAGGTATGTTTCTCTTAGTGATTTTCCATAGTCATTCAATGGTAAACACTCCTTCTTGTTTTTAAGAATTTTTTTCTTTTTAAAGCTTTAAGGCTTACATTTTTGAGTGTATGACAAATACATTAAAATGTTCTTAAAATAATATTAACTCTAACTGATTTCATTGTGTTGGATATGAGATTTCCTGGTAGTTGAATGAAATCTTTAACTCAGAATTGAATTTTCTTTAGGAAAAAGTACTTTATTAAATGTCTTAGGGTTTCATTTGTATTTATTGCAAGGGTTCAGAGTATTTGAAGTCCACTTAGAATGAATTAGTATGTATCTTGTTTTAACAAGAAACAGGGATCAGAGATTTTTTGTATCTATCAGACTTAAGGGTATCCTCCTCAGCGACATGTTTTCTGTTTTTGTTATGGGAATAGTGGGCATCCTCAATTCAGAAAATAAAGTATATCTCACCAATCCACATTACACGGTGGTGGTCATAGAAATCACCAAAGCTGTCAGTTGCTTGGGTGTTGAGAAAGATTACGTTGTCTAGAAATACAATCTCCAGGAGGTGGTGAAGAGCCCTGAGCATCCATCACAGCTTAACCCAAAGCAGGGAAATGGGAAAGAAGATAAATTGGAATCTACTGACAAATCAGAGCAAAACAACCCAGCAGAAGGAAAAAATAACCAGCAAGGAGTACCAGAGAATGGTGAGAAGCTGGGAAACAAAACCGAAGTCTGATCCGCAGGTGGTGAATGAGCGGGGAGCCAAACCGGAACCTGCAAGTAAAGTCACGAAAGGGTCCAAGTCAAGTGGACCCTCGTAGGAGGCCGTTTCGTGTTGGAAGCGGGTTTCTCTGCTGGGCTTCTACCTAAAATTGCGACTAAGAAGACTGTTTCTTATTTGTGCACTGCACAGTGCTGTTCTCACAGTTGCAAACAATGATTTTGCAGCCCTATTAATAGTTTTCTTAGGGATCTTTTAGCCCTGTATGGTAGTACGTATAGGCAGACCCATGGGTTACTTTTGCATGGTGAGGAGGATGGGAGGAGGGGGACGCTGGCCTCTCCCAGGCCACTCTTATGCAGTGCCAGCTGACCCATGGGAGGGAACTGACTGCGAAGCAGAAAATCAGAGGGAAGTTTTCATTCTACGAAGGAGTTTTTACACGCCGCAACTCAGCTTTCCCCGGCCACTTTGTTGTGAACGTTGCAAAATATGTGGAACATGTAAGTTAGAAGTGAATTGTTTACTAGAGTTTGTGTACTTCTGTGATTTTCTTGTTTGGTTATGTCTGTTTTCATAGTTGATTAACATTTGTGTCTAGCAAAGCTGACAGTTCAGTGCTGCAATTTTGGAAGGCAAGATGTGAGAAAGAAGAGGCCCATTTTAGGCACAGATTTACAGTCATTTCTGACAAGGTTGGTGATGAAGAATTTCAGTCTTCTGAATATACTTCAGTATACCATTGCAACAAGGGACACAGAGAAATTCTCTTTGTTATGTCTTTATAATGAAAGCTACTTCTCAAGGGTTTTATATGGACTCAGCCCAAGCTGTCCTATCTCATTGTGCATTTTCTGGGGCATGAAACTTACAAAAGTAGCAGTTATAACTATAAATCACAGCCACTTGACAAGAAAGGATATTTATTATTTTAAATGGCTTTTGGAATATCAAAACAGTAAGGCTTTTGATCAAAAATCACATTCAGTCAAAAGGTTTAGGAAGCAAATTATTTGGTAGCAGAACTTAGAAAAGAAAAATTTGCATGTTCGGTGAGAATCTGATAATAACATTAAAATGCTGGGGCAAGATGTAGCACAAAATGGAAAAGACTTTATTCTCAGTAAGTTGAATGACTGAAGATATCTCATATGAAGCCAAAAAGGTTTTGTGTCATTAACTGAAAAGCAGCAGCTTCACTATCCAGGTTGATGACTCCATGGGTTTCACTAGTATTTGTCATGCGGTGGCATTTGTAAGATTTATAAATGACGAATTCAAAGAAAACTTTTTCTATTGCTAGGAACCTCCCAAAACAAAGGCCAATATATAATGTGTGTCGTCATATCTCATAACCAGAGGTCTGCCGTCTGCACTCCTGGGGCCTCATTGGTGGTTGTCTCCATGATAAGTTTTGCCTCATTAACAACAACAAAAAAATCCTGATGCTGACTTTATAGCACACTGCTTTCTTCACAGAGAGGCTGATATAAAACACCTGGAGATACGGGAGGTCTGAATAATGTGTCCCAGTATCAAAGACACATTTATGTAAAAATGTTTAAAAAAAATTAGAACCCAAAACAAAAACCTGGACAAACAGCATGCAAATCTGCTGCACCATCCACATTCAGTGACTTATCAGAGGAAGAGTCGTTCTGCAGAGGATATTTGGGTTGAAAGGTGAATTGCCAGAGTACTTACAAGAAAACAGTAAGCCAGCTATTGCTGAGTGCTGTGCTTGAGAATGAAGAATGGCTGTAGAAACTTGCCTTTTGATGAAAAACAGATGTTTTCATCACATAAACAAATGAACAAGTTCCTAAAAGATTCTGGAGAAAAAAAAATTTTTTTTCCTGAAGTGATAAGAGTCTTCATTCTAAAAGGAAACTGACTTGCCATCTTGCCAGAGGAACTCTTGAAATGTTTTTGCAGCCATTTGGACTTAAGAATGAAGGGTACAACTCTCAAATATTGCTATAACCTACTTGGAGGAACCACAAAACCAAATTAAATGGCATTTTATCTCCTTTTCCCAGCACTAGTGTATGACTGGACGAGGAACCCTTTCTCTAAATTTGCTCAGCCTGAAATTTTATCTCTGAAGGAAGAGAGTAAACTCAGCCCTGGTAGACAGTTCTAGGTTTCTGTGAAATAAGAGTACTCTTCAACTTAGTCCTAACAGTTACATACTGTGAGGGTTGCCTACAGGGGTTTCCTGAATTTGAAAGTTTTTTCAAGGACCATTCCTGGGTAAAACAATTGAAAAAGGCTAGAAGAGACAGACTCCAACAAAGTCTGAGAAGTCAACTATCCAGATTAAGAATATTAAGGAGCTGTAAAGTTAGCTTATGGAAATGGACTTAACGTTAAGTTTTAAAAAGTTAGGAAGCAGTAAAAATGTTAGGCTTCCCGCACAAGTGGCTATGTTTATCTAATAGCTAGCAAACATCGGAATCTATTTTTATCCCCCTAGCTAGTGGTTTTGCTTGGTAAACCAGATTAGAAGGATTTGAGAGGGACAAAGAGAATAGGCAGGACCAACCTTCCATAGCTTTAGACATTTAGAATGTTAAGTCTCAATGAGGTTGAAATTACACTGAAAGGATTGATAAGAGGATTATTAAAATCATTCAGGTGAATAGGGAGGACAGGATTTTGGTGCCTTTTAGTTGGCTTTTATATTTATTTGTATTTGGTAAAGCTTGGTTGTTATCCAAGCTCTTCTTTCCCAGCTGTAAAATCCTGTGTTTGGTTGTAACCTGAACTCATTAAAAGACTTGTTTTCAGGTTATTAACTGTTTATTTTTACTGACATTTGAGTATGTTATTTGATCAATGATGAGTTTCCGGGCAGGAACTGAGTGCTTTTCTCCTGCTTTAGTTTTTACTTTAAAAAAAATTATGCCAGTTTTCAAAAAAACCCTGCAGTCTTGTGGTTTAGAAAACTTGTTTAGCTTTATACAGGAGTGTTAACTTTGTATTTTAATATATGTTTCTCCAAGGTTAAACATGGTTTTCAAATGTTATTTTTACTTGTATGTTGCTTTTGATATGGCCAGATCTCAAGTGTGTTTTTCATAGTTCCTGATAATTTCAGAAAAATAAAAATAAATTTGTTCCCTAAATATTGGTGTTTTGTACTTTTTCTTTCTTTTGGCCTCTTAGTAAATCTCTTGCTTTATGTGTATGTGTGTGTGTCAGGCACATACACACATATGCACACACATTATATATACATTATATATAATATATATTTTTATATATAAAATAAAAGATGTTTATATGTCAAATTATAAAAAATGTCATGGACATGATCCTAAAAAGAAAGATATATAAAATTTATTAATTACCCTTAAATAATTAATACTCCTAAATCCAAGTTTCAGATATTTAGTTAATTTGCTTCAAAATGAGGCACAATAACAGTACTTAATTTCACTAAATTCACTGACTAATTTTTGAATTATTTATATTCCTTATTTTAAGGTCTCAAAGTTTGGTCTCATAAAGATGTTAAGCAGAAGAAACTGTCTTGAACATTGTTCTTAGGATATGTCTTTATTTTGAATCAATTAGGCACAAGGTGAATGAAATACAGATTCATTGTGCATTTTCTTCTTCTAAGCAATCATTTGATTCCTTAGATTTTAAACATTACAAATCATCATCATTACCTTTGTCACTTTGGTCATTAAAACAATTTTTAGCCATATATTTTTAGGCTTTGATTTTTTACTTTTTTACTTTTAAATTTTTTAGCTAAGTAAAAAACAAAAACTCAACAGTTGAGTTTTCTATCAGGAAAGATCTTAAACATTTTAAGACAGTAGTCACTAAATTATCAGGAGCAATTACTAAGAGAGAGTAACGATATTACTAGGTAACCCTTTAGTTTTCATATCAAATTATGTTCGTCCCCATTCTTGGTCTCTTAAAACGTGGCGTTTGATTTTCCCAGTGACTGTCTTTGGGAGTTCCTGAACAAATTCCACCTAACGGACAGAAAAACGTTATGAGACACTTGATTCCATCCTTCCAACTGTCAGTGCAACAGGAGAGAGGTTGTATGAAACTCAGAATTTTTAAGTCGAGATTATCTTAGCCTAAGCTCATTGAGTTTCATGGACACCAGAAGCTGGTCTGTTTATATAAGACGGGTGACAGTGTAGCTCCATCTTCTGGGTTTTTAGTGCAAATTCACTTAAGTGCTTTGCCAGAAGAAAGTAATAATCCCTTTACTCCATTGCTTTCCCTTAGTTCAAACTAGTCCTAGGCCTCTACTGTTCCTGGAAAATGGAGACTACAGCTAAATACAAAAAGAACCCAGTTCTTCTCTTTTCAGAGCTGGATCCTGGAAATTTGGAGGAAGATTTTTTTTAGGGATAATTTGCAATATATACAGTTTCCCCTTCCACTCTGATTTGACCATAAAAATCCTCTTTGTGTTCTCTCAAAATAAGACTACTATATTTTTAAATGCCCTCAAATAACCCTTCTGAAAGTCAAAGGTCACTGATTTAGTGAATTTAATGGAGAAAATGTGAGTCATTTTCAGGCTGAAATTAACTACTTTTTGACTGAAATGATGCTAAATGAAATAGAAATCTCATGCAGAGGATCAGTAAATATCAACCAATTCTACACTTAGAAGGAAATTACAGGACCATCTTCATGTCCTTATGTAGTATTGTTCTTAAATCCTTTCTGAAGGTTTCCGGACGGATTCCATAGTTTCTTTGCATACCATCTTCTTCTGAACATTAAATGAGGTCACTTGATACTTAAAGGCATGTACTTTGAATTTTTAGGGGTATTAGCGCTAAGAGTACTGAGATAGATGAATCAAGTGCTGTCCCTAAAAACAAGGCACTTGATACTTCTTTGCCACTGTGTTTTTCTTATACAGAATGGGACAAATTCATCCTAGAAAGATTCTTACTAGTGATTCGGTATTACAGAGTTGATTAAAGGTTCTGGTTTATAATTCATGTATATTGTTCTTTTATTTATTTATTTATTTATTTTTGAGACGGAGTTTCACTCTTATTACCCAGGCTGGAGTGCAATGGCACGATCTCGGCTCACCGCAACCTCTGCCTCCTGGGTTCAGGCAATTCTCCTGCCTCAGTCTCCTGAGTAGCTGGGATTACAGGCACGCGCCACCATGCCCAGCTAAATTTTTTGTATTTTTAGTAGAGACAGGGTTTCACCATGGTGACCAGGATGGTCTCGATCTCTTGACCTCGTAATCCACCCACCTCGGCCTCCCAAAGTGCTGGGATTACAGGTGTGAACCACCGCGCCCAGCCCATATTGTTCTAATATAAAACACTTTAAGGCAAAATTCTTAGAGTTAAACAATTTGAAAAGGTGTCTTTTACCTATATAATGAGCTACTGTAAAATCAAAAATCCAGTAAAATCTAATTCTAGCTTAGACCTTCATTTGGTAACATCCAAACTTAAATTTTGGGCAAAGTACTTGCCTTTCTTGGATATTTGTAAGGTGCAGTTAATTTTTTCACATGATCCTGAAGCTCAAGAGTTAATTTTTCTGGGTTGGAGGACTTAAAGGGTGCAGCTAAGACAACAAAAGCTTTCACCACCTGCAACAGAAAAGTAAATTTATCTAGCTCTGTTTGTTTTTCAGACACATCAAGGATTTGCAACCAATGCTGAACACAGGTGTTTACTATTTGTTAATAACAGTTTGTGTGATTACAAATGCCAGAGATTACCTCTGAACAAAGCTTGGATACAGTTACAAAGTGAGGGTTTTTTTTGTTTGTTTGTTTGTTTTTGTTTGTTTGTTTTAAGACAGAGTCTCACTCTGTCACCAGGCGCCAGGCTGGAGTGCAATGGCGCGATCTCGGCTCACTGCAACCTCCACCTCCCGGGTTCAAGCAATTCTCCTGCCTCAGCCTCCTGAGTAGCTGGGACTACAGGCACATGCCACCATGCCCAGCTAATTTTTGTATTTTTAGTAGAGACAGGGTTTCACCATGTTGGCCAGGAAGGTCTCGATCTCTTGACCTCATGATCCACCCACCTCGGCCTCCCAAAGTGCTGGGATCACAGGCTTGAGCCACTGCACCCAGCCCAAAGTGAGGTTTGGAGAATATTTTCAGGTAAATGGTTTATGAGTGTGAGGATTGCAGCAGTTCAAGAAAGCTAAGTTCTATTTACAGGTCACACATGAATTTAACATTTCAGTCAGACTGATCCTATTTATTATACAGGCAGTCCTTGGTTTATGGATGACCACTTCGTTAGAAACCTATACCATCAGAAGCACGTAGCAGGGGGACAAATGGAAGCTCCTAGAGAATACGTAGTTTCAAAGGAGTTTGGAGGGTCTCATTGGAGGAAGGACTGTATCCCGGAAGATCACATCTCAGGAAGGAGCTGAGTGTGGTGGCTTCCTATAACCCCAAGACTTTGGGAGGCCGAGTAGAAGGATAGCTTCAGTCCAGGAGTTTGAAACCAGCCTGGTCAACATAGTGAGACCCCATCTCTATAAAGACTTAAAAAAAAAAATTAGCCAGGGTGCAGTGGTGCATACCTGCAGTACTAGCAACTCGAGAGCCTGAGGCAGAAGGATCGATTGAGCCCAGCAGTTTGGGAGGTTGCAGTGAGCTGTAACTGCATCACTGCGTTCCAGCCTGGGTGACAGAGCAAGTTTCCGTCTCAAACAGAACAGAACAAAACAAAACAAAAAACCAAAAGCTCTCAGGAAGGATTTATCTATCTCCTTGAGCTCATTTTCCGCATATGATTTGCTTCTCTTTGTAATACTGTTTGAAACCCACCAATCAGATAATTACGGAGATTAGTAAGCATACTTTATATTATTTATTGTTCATACGTTGATTCTAATTGGTGGTTACTTCTGTTCAGCTGAAATCGTTTATAATGAGAGAATAAGAACATGATGACAGGAAGAAACTATTTTGAGAACGAAATGGATGGAGAGTGGGGTGCGTGCGGGAGGTAAGGGTGTTGGGACTGACGGTGTCACTGCAGAGGCTCACAGGTGTGTGGGAGGGAGGTGAAATTTTGCCACGTGCTGTATTGCAGGAAACTTCCATGAGGAAAAACTTAGGAAAATAGGACTTCCTTCTAGAATTAGGCAATTACTGTCATTGCCAGAGTTCCCTTTTCTTAGGTCCTAAATAGGCATTTGGGAACCTGGCCACAATTTCCTTTTTTTTTCTTTTTTTTTTTTTTTTTTTTTTGAGACGGAGTTTCGCTCTTGTTACCCAGGCTGGAGTGCAATGGCGCCATCTCGGCTCATCGCAACCTCCGCCTCCTGGGTTCAGGCAATTCTCCTGCCTCAGCCTCCCGAGTAGCTGGGATTACAGGCACGCGCCACCATGCCCAGCTAATGTTTTGTATTTTTAGTAGAGACGGGGTTTCACCATGTTGACTAGGATGGTCTCGATCTCTTGACCTCGTGATCCACCAGCCTCGGCCTCCAAAGTGCTGGGATTACAGGCGCGAGCCACCGCGCTCGGCCACAATTTTCTATTTGCCTTGTTTCTGTGGGAAAATGTATTCTCAGTTCCATGACAGTTTTTCATTCAGTGAAATCTGTGGCTTTTGCGTATGCAGTATCTGTTCCTCCTTTTTAGTAACTACTCTAATTTTCCTGTGGGTTATTCCCCTAACTTCTCTCTGGAGGGATTGACACCAACACCTGCTTCCAAGGTTAGACATATGACCCAAGTCTGAACGATCAGCATATACCAGTCTCTGAACCGCACTGGTTAGAGACGTGATCTAAGGTAGGCAAATGAAGTCTTGAGAGTTACTTGAAGCAATTGAAAAAAGAGCTGTATCCTTCCCTGAAGGGGTGGAGGGCTGCTAAGCCGTATACATCTGGAGTTGGTTACTATCAAGCAGGAAGAACCTGATTAAATGCAGCCATCATAAAGGACAGCAGAGCCAAAAGCAAAGAGAGGTTAAGTCTTGCTGACCTCACATGAACCCTTGGATGTGGCTGTACTTACATATTTGTCACTTACATGAGCCAAATGCCTTTTTTTTTTTTAACTTAAGGCAGTTTGAATTGTTTCTGTCACTTCCATCAAAAGAATTCTAATACCTCCCCTTTGGGATGTAACTTATTGTAAAGTTGGTTGCCTGATTTATATTTTGCCCAAATGCATGCCTCATAATGAGAATTAATAGATTGATCACTCTTGGTTCACCCTTTACGGTAGTCAAATGGACAGAAAATATGAAGTTGCTTCTTTAATTAATGGCATTCATCTACCTCTCCTCGGATTCGATCCGGACTGCTGACAACAGCTGATTCGGCAACAGCTGGGTGCTCAATGAGTGCGCTCTCCACTTCAAACGGCCCAATACGGTACCTGAAGAGGAAAAGAAGTTTTTGACCACCACATCCCCCAAGTAAGAGATCTCCCTCCCTGTCAAGTTGTTGCCTCTTCAGAGTGGCAAATGTACAAACCCAGAGGATATAATGACATCATCGGCTCTGCCAACAAACCAGAAATACCCATCGCTGTCCATCACTCCTCTGTCACCAGTGACGTAAAACTCTCCTCTTACTGTGGCAGCGGTTTTCTCTGGATTGTCCTAGGAAAGGAGGATGGCATTTGGGGATTAGTCTGGTCAGAACAGAGGTGGGTATGGCACTCATTAAGTGACTAGTACATGACACAGCCGACTTCTAAAGGAAATCAATTTTTTAAAAATCTTTCGAGACGGAGTCTCTCTGTGACGCCCAGGCTGGAGTGCAGTGGCTGACTGCAGCCTCGACCTCCCAGGCTCTAGTGATCCTCTCACCTCAGCCTCCTGAGCAGCTGGGACCACAGGCATGTGCCACCACACCTGGCTAATTGTATTATGTTTTTGTAGAGATGGGGTCTCACTATGTTGCCCAGGCTGGTCTTGAACTCTTGGGGTCACGGCACCCTCCCACCTCAGCCTCCCAAAGTGCTACAGTTACAACCATGAGCCACTGTGCCTGGCTGGAAATTAAAGTTTTATAAAAGATAGTTCATAATATAAAATACAAAAGGCCCTCAAGAGTATAATAAAAAGCTCCTCTTCTACCTCTAGCACCCCCCCAACTGTACACCCATTCCGGCCTGCCCAGCTTTCCTTTCTGACGCTAACCGCTGAAACAGTTTCTTACATTTGGAATTTCATCTTTACAGTACTCTTGGGCGATACATGACAGTGTCCCCATTTTACAGTTGATGGAAGATTTTGTTGCTGGCCTAAGGTTACATAGCAAGTCATGGTGGAAATGAAATTCGAACCCAAGTCTGTATCGAGTCATGACTAGCACTTCCTATCCTCATACCACATATTCAGAGAAGAAACAGAAGGGCCGTGTAGACTTTAGTCTGAGGGCAATTTCCCCTTCTTTGCCGGGTGGTAGAACATTGCCATTTTCATCTATAATCTAGAATGAAAGAAACAATTGATGCTCTTAAAATTTCTTTTCACAAAATGAAAGCAGACTGTGAATAATCACACAATGAACAGCAGAAAACGAAAACATTCTTTCTTCTTTATTGAAGTGGTCAGATATTTTCCCAACCTACCTGGACATCATAGGGCAGCATTCTTTTCCCCATTGAACCTGGTTTAATTTCTTGGCCTTTCTGATTGGCACAAATGACTCCCTGTTGAGAGGACAAGCTTTGTGTAAGTACACAAAAGTTTATTTTCTGAAACTATATTATGGCAATGAAACTTAAGATTTGATTTTGACTGATTTTCCCGGTAGGCAGGCACACCTTCTGAAATATATTATTTGAGACCAGCAGTTCTCAAACTTGGGTGTGCATTAGAATCAAATTTGAGATTCTGGAGCATTGTTGAAACACAGCTTGTTGGGCCTTATCCCAGAGTTTCTGATTCATTAGGTATGAAGTGGGGTCTAAGAATTTGGCATTTCTGCCAAATCTACCTAGATGATGTTGATGTTGCTTGGTTTGAGGACCACACTCTGAAAACCACTCCTCAGACTCCATTAAGTGTTCTTTGGAATCAATCCCCCATGGACGCTCTCAGAGGATTCTTCCCGGCACAGTGGAAAGATGAGCTGCTCAGTTCTGAACCTCACACATCCCTAACACCTCTGAGATTCTCCTGCATGAGGGGGAGGCAGGAATGATGGAATAATCATCCTTCCCCTTCAGCAAAACCTAACTGAGTGATCTGCCATTTTGGTAACTACTGGCAAGGTGAGATATACTGGGAAAGTCTATAAAAATCCAGAGTGGAGTGGAGTCACTTCAGGGGCTCAGTTGACAATCCTGGGGCAGAAAGGCCGCCGTATATATTAAACATAAATGCCCTTTAGATATACCACTTCTGTCTGTCCGTAGCCTTCATACAGCTCCAGTCCAGTTTGCGCCCTCCACTGCTCCAGCACCTCGGGGTTGAGTGGCTCCCCTCCCGTCATGCAGCGCCGCAGGCTCTTGAATTTGTATCTGAAGAGACAGAGTTGCATGGGGTCTTTTCAAGAGGAACGAGGGCTTTCACTGCAAGATAACTAGGACATGCAAGCAGCAAGCATAGCAACCAGGAGAGGCAAGTCTTAGGAAAGTTCATTCAACCGATACTTGTTGAACAACTACTGTATTGCCAGATGTCGTTCTGGACATAGGAGGGGCACACTAGAGATTATTACGAAAACTCCTGACAGCTTACATTTTAACAGGTGGAGGAGAACTTAGCTATTAAAGATGTAAAAAGGCAGGGGAAAATGCTAGTAATGATACTAAGTGCTTATTATGAGCCACATGATAGAACAGCTAATACTGATGAAACAGTTGTATATTGTGAGAGCTTTGCAAGCATTCTTAGAATCCTCTCAACCCCTATTTACACACGAGGACACTGAGGGTCAGAGAGGTTAAAGAACTTGCCCAAAGACTTCCACGTAATTGAGGACTGAGCTGATACTCATGATGTTCTGTACCAGGCTCCTCCCACTTGTCAGGGTGATCCCACCAAGCATGTCACTTACGTGAAATTCTCACCGCAGCCTTATGAGGGGACTCTTAAGCCAGTCTTATAGATGGAGTTGGTGGAGGCTTAGCAAGATTGAGTGTCCAAGGCCACACTATTAGTAAGTGAAGCAGGGTCCTGCCTATTTGACTTTGGAGCTTAGCTTTTAGCCACCAGCCTTACTGGATATAGGTGGAAAAGTCTGGAATAGCCTGCATCTGAGACACGGAGATATGGCCAAATGGGCCAGAGGGTATAGGTAGAATACAAATCATATGCATTCAAAATAATCACTGAGTAGTCCCTGAATTACTCTTGAAACGTGAGCGAGATGCTCTCGTTTTAAAAGCCATGACATAGGAACAAAGGAGTTGACACTGACTAGGAAAAGAGAAGATTCACATTTGCTTTATTTGTCTCGCATAGCGCTTTCCCCTCGGGCAACCACACTTTGGTGGCAAAAGAGGATGGGCAAGCCTGCACTACTTAAAGTGCTCCTCTCTTCCTTTCCTTCCTCACGTACTGAGTTTGAATTAAACAAATATACAGTGAGGCTCTACTGGATGTTCATAGGGTTTGGCTAAATTGAATTTGAACTTCAAGTCCTATATACACCTTATTAGCTTTTCTTCAAAGGAGTATAAATGTGCTTTGCTTTCTTTCTTTTTTGAGGGCTGGTTCTAAATGACAATGTTTCCAAAAGAGTAGAACTAAGGACAAATTTTTTGAGTGACGGTTCTGGGACTATAGAGGTCTGGTTGTCCTTGGAAAAACGTCCAGTTGTCCTAGAGGATATTCCAGTGGTTCTTAGACTAGGGGACAGTTTTGCCCCCCAGGAGACATTAGGCAGTGCCTAGGGACATTTTTGGTTTTCAGAAATGGGGAGGAGGAGGTGCTGCTGGCATCGAATAGCGTCTTGGGATGCTGCTCAATATTCTATAATGCATGCGACAGTCCCCCAGGGACAGAATTATTCAGTTCAAAATATCAGTAGTGGTAAGACTAAGGAAAGCCTGGGCTACCCTGTGCTGAAAAAGGAAGATTTGTAATGCTGGATGGTAGCTATTGTTTGTAGTTCAAACAGAGATTTCTGCCCAAGTACCTCTTAAGGTCTTTTTGCACAAGCATCCGGTACGCGGTCGGAGGACTGCACAGGGTCGTGATGGGGTAAGTGGTGAGTGTCTGGATGATGAAGAAAGACACGGATGTCAGAAGTGGTCCATCAAAGGCCATGACTAGAGCGGACAGCTACACCCTATCATTCTCTTCCATTAATATATGCCCGTCCCATGGTCACTACTAGGAATAAGAAAACAAATATTGATTACTCATCACTAGTGACTGTATATCTGTTGGGAATTTCCAATTACTGGAAAGAGTGTATATATATATATATATATATATATATATATATATATATATATATTAATATTACAGTAATAGGCCCACACAATCTAACTCAACGAGTGAATTGCTGAATTTGAGAAACCCAAAGTATGAACTGGTTTATTCTCCCTCAGGGCTACAGATTACCTTGTATAGTGTAATCTTGTAACCTGCCCATGTATTGATGGACAGTATTGATATGGATGTATAAGCTAACCTACTGGGACCTTTCCAGCTCCATTCCTATAAAGTATGTCAGTCTTTTTGAGTAAGTTGAATAAATGTAGAAATAAGCAGTTTTTAGGCCTTAATTTTAAAAAGTTTGCTGAACTCATTACGTCTCCAGCTTCTTAAATAAGATATGGCCCAGGCATCTGAAATCTAGAAAAATACCAATGTTTTAGAGCTCCTCCTTCCGGAGAAGTTCTAACTACGTGCCTTAATGTATTGACAAATTTGTATTAAACTTAAGTAATTTGGGAGAAGGCTCTCAAAATGTGTCTGGGCTATCTGGATTGTCATAGATAAAGAATCACATTTGATCTGCAAGTAAGCATTTCTCTCATGTGTATCTGCTCCATAGATTCTAATTATTTTTATAAAGTATAATGTATATATCTAAGAATAGTATAAATCTATAAAGGTTTTTTATAACACTTAAAATACACACATGATCTTCGTAAAATAAAAATATTCTTATTTTACACACGTGGGTTTTGAAACTGCAAAGTTAACTTACCAACTTCAGGGCACTTTGTAAACCTGATGTGGAGATCTCAGTTCTTACGTTAGTGTACTTAACTTTGTGTTACGTTAAGGCCTTTAAACCAGGGGTCCCCAACCCACCGGACAGACTAAATTCTGTTTGTAGCCTATTAGGAACTGGGCCACACAGCAGGAGGTGAGTGGCCGGGTGTATTTATAGCCACTCCCCCGTTGTCTGCATTACCACCTGAGCCCCGCCTCCTGTCAGGTCAGTGGTGGCACTAGATTCTCATAGGAGCACGAACCCTATTGTGAACTGTGCATGAGGGATCTAGGTTGTGGCTCCTTAAGAGAATCTAATGCCTGATGATCTGTCACTGTCTCCCATCACCCCCAGATGGGACTGTCCGGTGGCAGGAAAACAAATTCAGGGCTTCCACCCATTCCACATTATGGTGACTTGTATAATTATTTCATTAGACATTACAATTTAATCATAATATAAATAAAGCACACAAGAAATGTAATGCACTTGAATCATCCTGAAATTATCTCCCTGCTCCCCACAGTCCCTGGAAAAATTGTCATCCATGAAACCAGTCCCTGGCACCAAAAATGTTGCAGACTGCTGCCTTAAACCATCTTGTCAGACCAGTTAGCAAAAGAAGAGGTGAATAGCTTTTATTCACACCAAGGTATAATTTGTACGTAACAATATATATTTTGTTAAACTTAATAAATTTGTCATGGTTGAAAAATAATTGGCCTGAATCACATTTTTCCAAAGGCTAAAGAAATTGGAGTTATCTGATATCTCAGTCTAGCTCTCCGTGGTTGAGAAGGCAGGGCATGCATGCTTGGTTTCCAGAAGAGTATTGGGTTCTGAGAATTAACTAAATGAGAAGCATAGGCTGGGCGAGTATAAGAGGAGCTGCTCTGGGAGAAAGATACCCCCACCTTTAATCTTCACTCCACTCGAGATTTCTGGTTTATCAGCTATTATCTTTGTTTCATTGAATCAGAAATGAAATATTCGTTTAGACTTCAGACTTCTAATCTGTTATTTGGAACCAGATTCTTACGTAGCTACAGCTTTAGCAACAATAGCAAATCCTGAGCTACGTGAAGCACACGTCTGGATTTCCTGCCTGAGAGTGTTGCAGTTGTGACCCCTCCGTTCCGTCAAACACGTCTCAAAAGTCAGTTTCCTGGAGATTTTGCTTCTTATAAAGAAATGATTTCCAGAAGCCCAAGAAGCCTTGTATTCTGGGAATCATTTCTTTGTGATTTCATGGGAGACGAGGAGCTCTAAAGATCTATCTAGCTGGAGGACATGACTTACATCTAAGAAGGTGTCAGTGTCAAACTGTACCATCTGGTGCACAAAAACACAGGCTCCATAAAGCCAGGAAGAAAACACACTGCCAATGGCGGCCTTGATCCAACCTGTGTCAGACACATTCCATATGATATCTGAGGACTTCAAATCCAGCCAATACCTAAATGATATGAAGAAGCAACAATACAGACCAAAAATAAACAAAACAACAATTAAAAACAAAAGCAAACAAGCTCGTATCTTTCAGTGGTGACCTCGCCCCTAAAACTTAAGGGCTACAGAGAAGGGTCAAGAGAAGTCCCAGGCAAGGTGACAGATTCTACGTCTACTCTTCTTAAGGGCATTTTCAGAATCCCAGGGGGTCTGAGAGCACAGTGGGAGTCTGGGTTTGGCATGATGCTTTTAGTTTGTCCATTGATGCGACAAATACTTGTTAAGTCAAAATGTGCTAGGCACTGTGCTACAGCAGTGAGCAAGGTAGACCAAATCTCTGCTCTTATTTTAGGGCGACAGATAGTGAATAAATATACAATAAAGGGAATTAAGTATATTAATAAATGCCATTATTTCAAATAGCGTGAATACTATGAGGAAAACAAAATACACAATAAAGGGAATTAAGTATATTAATAAATGCCATTATTTCAAATAGCATGAATACTATGAGGAAAACAAAATCGGGTGATGTGACAGTTGTAGGACAGCCTCTCTTTTAGGAAGGCTTTTCTGAGTAGGGCTTCCTGGCAACGTGGAAAGGAAGCCAGACACGCTGTGAAGGGATTGAATTAAGGTTGGTTCTTAAGCGCTTGCTTGCTCAGCTGGTTAGATGGTGCCATTTACTGAGCTAGGTTGGGCAGGGCCAGCAAGAGTTCCGTTTTGTAGCCATTATGTGGGCAATATCTTACAGCAATGAAAGGAGACGTATCAGTTAGTTGGATACACATATTGGCAGCTTTGGGGGGGAGCTTTCCAAAAACAAACTGAATTGCCTTCCCTACCTTCCACAGAGGGTGGACCCAATGCTGAGGCTGCTCTGAGAGTGCTGGGCCATTTTAGGAGAGCCTGTGGTCCCGCTGGTGAAATAAATGGCCATTGGTTCTTCACTTCCTGTTTCCACACAGCTGTGTTCTTCAGAGGCGAGTCTGCAAAATATGGACCCCAAGTTGGTGATGGAAGACAGCAGACCAGATTAACTCTGATATTTCTTCTGCTTGCTGCATATGCCCTCTTGTTACCAGAAGATAGTTAACAGAACTGAACCTAATCCAAAGCTTTCCTGAACGTAACTCCTCCAGAAATCTTAGCGGGACTTTGAAGATCAGTGCTAAGACTGAACAGCCCAGTTTTTCTTTTTTTAAGCTTTAGCTCCCTGTAGGGTAAAGAAATAGCCAAGATCACTTTCCATATTAATAACAAAACAGATGCATTTTACGTATGGTAACATTTTTTCCCCAAGTGCTTTCTTAAAAAAAGAAAATCTGTGAGTTTTTAAAAATTAGCATTGAATCTTCGTAAACTGCTATTAATGTTTCAGGAGTTTTCATTATTTAAAGGAAGATCTTTTGGCATTTGAGTCGAAGTTTTAAATAATTTTTGTTCAGTATCTTTGATATCTGTGGCACGTGCAGCTAGTTGCTTACCAAATAGCTGTCTCCTTCCTCCTTGCACTTATAGAAATGACTTTGTTCAGGTATCAGGCAATCAAGTGCTTCAGGGGAGACTGTCCCCATATAGCTCCTAAGGGCAAATCTTGATTAATCTAAGCCAGTCACACACATTCCTTTAGTTTAAGATTGGGCACATGACGCAGTCATGGACAATGAGATGTAAGGCTTTCATGGAATGTATTTCCTTGCTCTACAAAGAGTCATGAGGAAGAGATGTGCCTTCTTCCTGGCCCATTCTGTTTTATGACCTTTGATATTGTACAAGTACAGGATGTCTGGAGCTACCCTGGCCATGTTGGGTTTCTGCTGAGGGTGGCGTGATAGGAAGATGAATGAATCTGGGTCCATGTTAATTTCATTGACCCACTGAATTCACTAAACTGTTAACAATCTCTGTGTAAGATTGTCTGCAAAGATAATTCCACGATTCCTTCCATCCCTGTACAAAAATTCTTAGATATTGTATCAGTTATCCATCACTGAGTAACAAATCGTCTTGTATGCCATTCCCTCATTGCAAGGCAGAGCCTGTGTCCTGTCTGTTTGGATATGGGGTGGTCTCATGACTTACTTGCATTAATACACTGTGGTACAAGTTCTGGGACTTCTCAGCCTAGGTCTCAAGAGGCTTCATACTTTTCACTTACCTTGCTGGCCAACTTAGCCAGCACATAAAGATGTTTAGACTGTCCTGCTGGAGAGAGAGGCTTATGTGCAGGAAAACTGAGGTGCTTCAGCTGGCAGCCAGCCTGATTTGAAGGTGTACCCGCCTTGGATACTCGAGCCCCAGTCAGGCTGATGTGGAACAGAGACCCGCTGCCTCTGCTGAGCCCTATGCAAATTTGCGACCCATGGAATCATGAGCAAATAAAATGACTGCTGTTTGCACCACTAATTGCTGGGATGGTTTGTTACTCAGTGATGGATAACTGGTATAGTATCTGAGAATTTTTGAGACAGGTGTATCATATTTTTATTTTTATTTTATTTGTTTATTTTTTGAGATGGAGTCTCACTCTGTCACCCAGGCTGGAGTGCAGTGTCTTGATCTTTGCTCACTACAACCTCCACCTCCCAGGTTCAAGCAATTCTCCTGCTTCAGCCTCTCAAGTAGCTGGGACTACAGGCAATGCACCACCACACCCGGCTAATTTTTATATTTTCAGTAGAGACGGGATTTCACCATGTTGGCCAGACTGGTCTCGAACTCCTGTACTCAGGTGATCTACCCACCTCAGCCTCCCAAAGTGCTAGGATTACAGGCATGAGCCACCACACCTGTCTGGTGTATCATATTTTTAATTTCTCTGGTTGAAGAGAACAGAGATAAGGATGCTGCTTTAATTCATCTTGATGTTGAATGAGTGACATTGTCATTGAAACAGTAAAAACAGGGAGGATTTCTTTTTTCTTTTTTGAGACAGAGTTTTACTCTGTCACCCAAGCTGGAGTGCAGTGGCATAATCTCAGCTCACTGCAACCTCCACTTCCCAGGTTCAAGCAATCCTCTCTTCTCAGTCTTCCTAGTAGCTTGGACTACAGGTGTGTGCCATGCCCAGCTCATTTTTGTATTTTTAGTAGAAATGGAGTTTCACCATGTTGGCCAGGCTGGTCTTCGAACTCCTGAACTCATGTGATCTGCCTTGAGGATCACTCGGGATCCCACAGTGCTGGGAATACAGGCATGAGCTACTGTGCCTGGCCAACAGTAAGGATTATTTAAAAATAGTTTCATAAAAGATTAGCATGGTTTTCTTGATAACTTGCTTCCTCCCCTTAAAATATAAAAAGATAATTCATTCAACTATATTTTCTTTTCAATATATACATAAAGTAAAGTTGACATGTGTTGGGCTAGAGAGGGGCGTTTCTTCACAGAATCTAATACCTTGTGGGGAGACTTCTTATGTTTAAACATTTCTCAATCCAGTTTGGAAACCTTTTCATAGAAGGCATCTATCTATCTATCAATCTATCTATCTATCCATCCATCCATCTATCTATCTTTCATCTATTCATCCATCCATCTACCTACCTACCTATCTACTTATCTATCCTTCATCTATCCAGCCATCTGTCTATCTTTCTAAAAGAAAAAATACCACAGTCTGTGAGTGACAAGAAGATTTTCAAGCCGTGATTCCATTATCTGACTTCCTTTCCTTGCATACCCGAGTTCTGAGTTATGTCTTTCCAGAGTTCAGAACTAATTATATAGTAATAACTTCCAGATTTGTATCTTTGCCTCCTGTCCCCGAGACTCATGTATCTACTACCTGCTGGACATCTGAATCTTCAGAGACCCTTCAATCTCGATGTCCAACTCTAAACTTACTGTTAACCTCATCTACTGGCTCTTTCTCCAGCTGATGGTACCCACCCACCAAATGCCTAAGCTAAAAGCACCTCAGCCTTGACTCCTTCTTCCTTCATCTTCCACATCCAACACTCTCTAAGTCCTGCTCGTTCTTTAGTTTGTTTCCTTTCCTTCCTCTATTCATCAGAGCTCAGATTTAGATTTTTATTATCTCTGCCCTAGATTAGGCTCTAAGATGTTCTCTCTGATTGCAGTTTCTTCCCCCTCAAACTCATCCTGTATATATCTGCCAGATAAATCCATTTAAAATCCAAACCTGACCTTGGAACTTCCTGCTTAAAAACCCCCCAAGGCAGCCGGGCGAGGTGGCTCACGCCTGTAATCCCAACACTTTGGGAGGCTGAGGCAGGTGGATCACGAGGTCAAGAGATCGAGACCATCCTGGTCAACATGGTGAAACCCCGTCTCTACTAAAAATACAAAAAATTAGCTGGACATGGTGGCGCGTGCCTGTGAATCCCAGCTACTCAGGAGGCTGAGGCAGGAGAATTGCCTGAACCCAGGAGGCGGAGGTTGCGGTGAGCTGAGATCGCGCCATTGCACTCCAGCCTGGGTAACAAGAGTGAAACTCCGTCTCAAAAAAAAAAAAAAAAAAAAAAAAAACACCCACCGAGGGTCAAGTTTAAGATTTAGCATGGCATATGAGATCTCCCATAATCTGGCCTCTGTTTGCTCCTCCAGCCTTCACTCTGACTCTTTATTTTGTTCTCCAGCTAAACCAAACTGCTTGTAATCCATTCCCTGCACATCTTAGGGGTTTTTTGTTTTTTTGGTTTGTGGTGTTTTTTTGTTTGTTTGTTTGTTTGTTTGTTTGTTTCTGCTTCCATATCTTTGGTTATGCTGTTCCTGTGCCTGGAACACCATCTTGACCCCCTCAGGATCAGAATCCAGAGTCCTGGACCCACAGGACAAGGTCCTTTGTACTGGACAGAAAAAGAGAACTATCAGGCTGGCTTGTAACTGTGACCTTTTCCCCCATCCCATTGTGAATATTCTGGAAAGTGTTAATGGTCTTCTATACTTGGGAGGCAGAAGGAGGGCAAGAAGCCTTAAAATGAACTTCTTGAATAGAAGATCAGCTCTAACAATGTCAAATTAGCCCACATTATTGCTGTGTGTGCCAACTGTTGGCAATGAGACATTTAGATTTTAGAGAAACAGTCCATGGCCTTTTTGGAGTTATGACACTCCAAAGTCATTGGTTTAAAATGAGGATTTTTTTCCCATCTTGAAAACCGCTCCCAAAGTGTGCAAATTTCCATTTGAAATCCACATGAATTTAAAGTGCTTTATCTGTTGTAAATTTTGGGGCCCCTTTAAAGTTTCTTGGGGACTCAACAGATTATGGCAAAGTTGTTTAGGACAGGAGTCTCTGCAGTGGAAGTGCTTGCTGCTCGGAGAGTGCGCAAGGTAACTGGCATAGAGAAGAAAAAAGAATTGCAAATGAAAAAAAAATTTTTTTTAGACAGGGTCTCTGTCACTCAGGCTAGATCTCGGGTGATCTAATTGTTGTTTTACTCATCCTCTAAAATTTTTATTTTTGGAATTTGTACAATGCACAAAAGGCCATGGATATAATTTATAAATAAATACATGTATTGGAGGATATGTTAAAAAGTATTGTATTGTTTCACTCGTCCTCTAAAATTTTTATTTTGGGATGTGTATAATGCACAAAAGTACAAGTATGTCATTTATAAATAAATACATGTATTGGAGGGTATGTTAAAAAGTATTTTACTAATAAAGATGGGTATTCAAATAATATAAATACCATTACCTTAGGAATCACTACACTATTGAATGACTTTGTTGACTTGAGATTAATAATAAGAATGACAGCAGTTATAATTACTGTGATATTATAATTACTCTGTGCCAGGCATTAAGCTAAGAATTTTACATGTTTTATCACATTTGATCCTCTATAACCCCATGAGGTAGATACTATCATTATCTCCATTTTACACATAAGATAAAGAGTTTCAGCAATGTTATTTAACGTATCCAAGGTTACACAGCTTATAAAAGACACAGGCAATATTCACTGGTGTGGCCCTTGGGAAAGAATTTTGGGATTGGCCAATAGTATTTGATTGATGTTAATTAGTAGGATAAAATGTCATTCTAACAAAGAAAACTACTCTATTATTCAGTGGGGTTTACATGTCTTCTCTTTCTATAAACTTCTCTGAAGAATTTTTTTTAACATAAGCTATTCAACACCTCTCTGAAGGATAATGCCATTAATTAACATTTTACTCATTTTTTACAGCTTAAAAAACACCTTCTCACACATTCACTGAATTTATCCTCAAAACCACACTTGAGATATGTACAGTATAACTACCCTCATTTTACATAGAAGGAAAACCGCAGTTGTGATCTCTTTTGTTCATTCGTTTATAAATATTAAGTACCATTTATGTGTTAGAAACTAGAGATAGACCACCCAAAGTCTCTGTTTTCTTACAATGTATGGTTTAGTGCAGAGGTTGCCAAATTTTTTCTGTAAAGGGACAGATAGCAAGTATCTCAGGTTTTGTAGGCCACACAGTTTCTGTTGTAACTACTCCACTCTGCTGTTGTTACATAGACAACATGTAAATAAATGAACATGCATGCATTCCAATAAAACTATTTAGAGAAACAGAGCCGGGTGTCGTGGCTCACGCTTGTAATCCCAGCACTTTGAAAGGCTGAGGTGGGCAGATCACTTCAAGGTCAGCAGTTCAAGACCAGTCTGACCAACAGGATGAAACTCCCTCTCTAGTAAAAATTAAAAAGTCAGCCAGACATAGTGGCAGGCGCCTTTCAATCCAGCTATTCAGGAAGGTGAGGTAGGAGGATCACTTGGACCCGAAGGCAGAGGTGGCAGTGAGCTGAGATCACACCACTGCACTCCAGCCTGGGTGACAAAGTTAGACCCTGTCTCCAAAGAAAGAGAGAGAGAGAAACAAACAAACAAACAACAACGAAGGTGGCAGGCCGGATTTGGCCTGTGGGCCTGAATTTGCCAAACCCTACTCTAGAGGAGAAAAAAAGACTCTATATAAGGGAGTGGATGACTGGACATGATAATTCAGATGGCGGTGAGTGATACGAAGAAAACAGGAGGAGGATGTAACGAGTGGCTTGTAGTTCTATTCTAGGGAGTGCGGTCAAGGAAAGCTTCACTTAGGCTAAAATATTTGAGTCAAAATGTGACAAGAAGGAGCCACTCATGAAAAGGAATAAGAACACTCCAGGCAGAAGAAGCAGCAGGTGGCGAGTGAGGTGGGGCATGTTCGAGGAAGAAAAGGGAGCATGGTGGGAGATGTGGTCCAGGTTTAAGCAGGGGCCAACCCACACTGGGTACTCATGGTAGACCACAGAAGAAAGCAGGGGGATGGAGGCAGAGCGACAGCCCTTTCTTCTGTCCTTAAATCCATTTATTAGGTAATACTTTTCTTTTTCTTTCTTTTTTTTTTTTTTTTTTGAAACTCGGCTCACTACAAACTCTGCCTCCCAAGTTCAAGCGATTCTCACGCCTCTGCCTCCTGAGTCGTTAGGATTATAAGCGTGTACCACCACACGCAGATAATTTTTGTGTTTTTAGTAGAGATGGAGTTTCACCATTTTGGCCAGGCTGGTCTTGAACTTCTGGCCTCGTGTGATCCACCCACCTCAGCCTCCCAAAGTGCTGGGATTACAGGTGTGAGCCACCATACCTGGCTATTAGGTAATTTTCTGAATAAGAGACCAGATCAACTCACAGCGTTCCTGAATCCTTGGAGGCAAAGAGATTCCAAGATGTAGCTAGAATTTGTGTTGTTGCTGGCAGTGTAGATTGGCTGGGAAAAATACTCACTGAAATAACTCCTGGAAGCTGAGCCACCCATTCCGGGTTTGTGAAGACACCAGGAGTTTTGTCTTAAGGTCAGGACACTCCAATGCGATGGACTCCACAGCTGGGGCCACCTCGTCGCTGGCCACAATGCACTTGGCCCTGGATACTCGCAGCCGGTAGAGGATATCTTTGGCTGTCAGCTGGATTGTTCCTGGCATAAAGACGATCCCTGGGAAGGACAAGAGGGCCCTGCACTGAACAGAACTGCTGTTCATTTAGTAAGCCTTGCCCTGTGGAAGACCTGGGCTTTGTGCCTCGGTGAGGAGAAACATCAGAATCCATCCTTCAGCTACCTCTGCCTTGATCTCCAAGGATATTGCACAGGACCCTGATCCCTGAGAGATCCCTTAGAGCTTCAGAGTTTGACAGACCATGGGTCTGATCCTGGCCTTGCAATTTACCAGCTTTGTGACCTTGATCTCTCTGTGCCTTTCTTTCCTTATCTGTAAAATGGGAAGAATAATAATAAGTGTCTGTAATATAGCAGACATTATAATGGTGGGCTGTTATTATGTAACATTTTAACATCACATTTAAATCATTATGTTCCACTTAAATGGCACTTTACAATTTATAACACATTTCATGAGCACTGTCTTATCCAATCTTCTAAAGCAATGGTCTCCTGCCAGGTGTGGTGGCTCACACCTTTAATCCCAGGACTTTGGGAGGCGAGGTCATTAGATTGCTTGATCAACCTCAGGAGTTCAAGACCAATTCAGGCAACATGGCAAAACCCCGTCTGTACCAAAAATACAAAAATTAGCCAGGTGAGGTGGTACATGCTTATAGTCCCAGCTACTCAGGAGGCCTAGGCAGGAGAATCACTTGAACCCTGGAGACAGAGGTGGCAGTGAGCTGAGATCATAACATTGTACTCTAGCCTGGGTGACAGAATGAGACTCTGTCTCAAACAAACAAACAAAAGAAAAAAACAGTGGTTTCCAAAGTGAGTTTTTCGACAATCCATTGGGACTAAAAAAAGAAAATATAATTATAAAAAATTATTGGCTGGGCATGGTGGCTCACACCTATAATCCCAGTGCATTGGGCGGCCAAGGTGGGAGGGTCGCTTGAGCCCAGGAGTTTGAGACCAGCCTGGGCAACATAGTGAGACCCCCATCTCTGCTTAACTTTTAAAATAATATTAAAAATTCTACAGAATTAGAAATTGAGAAACTAAAATTCTTTAAATGCTTTGATCTCATTTGTGTATGTTTCATAATATGCATAACATGTTAGTGCAGTAGGACCACATAAGTAGCTATACCCAGATGGGAAGATGTGTATCTTAAATATTTTTATTGATAGATGCCTAGAGACTACTGTTTTAAGCAACCCTGGTAGGTCTGTGTCCACGTGGTGTGTGTCCATTGATGGAATATGAGATTTGATCATACCTGGTGAGTGCCAGGGCCAGCCCTCAACTCTATGGATCCTAGTGGTCTGGCATCATCAAGGTTTGCCTAGACTATTTGGCAATGTTTAGTTTATCTCACCTCCTCATGTCATTCTAAACACTGGCTGGAGATCTCTGATTTAAAAGTACCGGTTCATTCTGAGAAAAACATACATGGCCAAATTAGATGAAAGAGACAGGTAGTTTGTACTTTCTGAAGTGATTTATTGAAAAGAGGAAGTGGAGTGTATATAAAGTATTACAGATAACCACTACTCTTTATTGAGCATTTATTATGTGCCTGATATCTCCCTTGAAATTAAACCCACTACATTAATAATAACTTGCCCAAGGGTCACAAAGTCATTAAGTGGCAAAGGATTGAAAAGATTCAAAGATACATTTCCCAGACTCCCAAGATGTGCGCTATAAGCCAAACTACGTATTTCTTGGTGAGTTCCCTGAAGTTTGCTAGATACAAAAATGTGGAGTTGAATTGCTAGGAAGGAGACTTTATTTTACGAATGTATTTCAAAAGCTTTTAAATATCATCCCTTCTTGAGAAAGTGAATAAATGTATAAGGATAAGGAAGTTGATTAAGAAAACACCTTAGAGTATTCAGTCCATATAAAAATACAAGATGATTTATTTTACAAACCACTTGTTCTCAGTGATTGCAAATAATTAATACCTTTGGTAGACTGATGATGAATGTACTCAATGCGTAGACCTCTAGCTTCAGGATTGGGGGAAGTTTTCTTCTAGTGGATTTCAGATAGCAAATATCTTAAGTTTTACTGTATACACTTCACAGCAAAAAACAAAGTATTTTGCTATGTGGTATTGTACAATTTCGATACTCTCACAGAAGATTTAATAATTCTGACTTAGAGAATATAATCTTACCTGCTTGATTTACATTTAATTTAGGGTTTGTGTTAACCATTCAGCTTGTGTGTTTGGTTTTCATTATTATTTTATAAATTCCATAACTTATGCTAAGCAATATTATGTATTTTTTATAACAAGCCACCTTTAATCTACTTTCAACCCACAATTGGTTTTTTGCAAGTTTTTTTAGTGAATGCCAAAAGAATTTTATATAAACAAATTCTATATAATGCTGTTTTTATTTAACATTGGCAGTAAGAACATTTTCAACAGCATTATGAAATCCTTGTAATTATCATATTAGAGGTATTTCAAGTTGAGATGCCATAATTTAATCACTTATACACACCCACCTCCACTAAATTCAGTCTCATCTATTATTGTTTAGTCATTTCTCCTTAGTTGTTTTTAAATTTTTATTAGTATTAACATTGCAATAGACATCTTTGTGTTTTTTATAGTATTCTATCCTTTGATATTCTTATTTATTTTTAATTGACTTATAAACATTTTTGTCATGTTTTAGAGCAGGGATTGGAAAACTTTTTCAATAAAGGGCCAGATAGCAAATATTTTAGGCTTTGTGGGCCATAGTGTCGACAACTAAATGAAGATTTCTGCTGTGGTAAAACAAAGAGAACCATAGACAGTACATAAATAAACGAGCATGACTGTATTCCATTAGAACTGCCTACATAAACAGGTGCCCGACCAACATGCCATGGTTTGCTAACTCCTGTCCTAGAGTGGAAAAAATTCTGTTGGGATTTTTATTTGGGGTAAATTATAAATTACTGCTTTGAGAGAACGTGTGTCATTGATTACTTTAGTCAGTCTGAAAAAAAGGCAGAGATTTTTCAACTGGGATCTGCCAATCATATTCTTATAAATCCTGGTGCTCTAAAATACTTTTTCTTCTTGTATTTTTTTTATTAGGGAGAATCCAAGTATATTCAGAGAAGTAAATTTTGGATCATCTGGATGAACACGTCCTAGATAATCCAGCACTGCAAAATGACGTTGGTACCCAAATTTGCTTTCATAGAGCTTTGTTTTTAAATCCTAGTTGCACAGCATTCTAGCTGTGACTGAATAGAATATCATAATTATGACTTTTGGCAAGCTTCTTATTAATTTTTTTGTTTTTATTTTTATTTTTTTAGACAGTGTCTTGCACTGTTGCCCAGGCGGGAGTGCAATGGTACGATCTCAGTTCACTGCACCCTCCACCTCCCATGTTACACGCGATTCTCCTGCCTCAGCCTCTCAAGTAGCTGGGATCACAGGAGCACACCGTCACACCTGGCTAATCTTTTGTATTTTTAGTAGAGACAGGGTTTCACCATGTTGGTCGGACTGATCTCGAACTCCTGACCTCGTGATCTGCCTCCCTAGGCCTCCCAAAATGCTGGGATTACAGGCATGAGCCACCATGCCGGACCAACCTTGGCAAGCTTCTTAACCTGAGCCTTGGTGTCCTCTTCTGCAAAATGGTTATTCCACGAATACCTCCCTCTTAATATTATTGGTATTATCGTCACATCATGATTGTCCTACCTCTTCTTTTTTTTTTTTTGGCCTTCTGTACGCTTAGCTTTAATCAGACCTAACATTTCAGAAAACCCTTGAGTTTCAGTCTCTACGTTTCTGCATGATTCAGAATGTTCAATATTGGCACTGACCTGTCCGTATGCAAGCCACATTTAACAGCCACCACTCAGGGACTCGGGGCAGAATCAAGGCCACACGGTCTCCTCTCTGCAGGCCACAGGGCTTGGTGAGCACGTTGGCAGCTTTTCGGGACAAGGAACTCAGTTCTCTGAAGCTCCATTTCACCTCATCCCCTTTGTCGTTCACCCACCACAGGGCGGGGTTCACCGGTCTCTCCCCTGTCTGACCGGGAACACATGGGAAAGAGAGGGGTAGGTTAACATGACTGATTACCGTTCCATGGGGCATCTGCTGTGTCTCCCCTTTGGCACCGGTTCTGGTGCATTCTACTAACAGCACCCTGACTTTGTCTTTGAGGGAACTGCTCCTTTCCTATTGAACACAGCCTCGAAAAGAGAATTCCTCAGATGCTTTTACCCTTCCCTGAGCAGTGGGTGGGCATTTGACCAAAGTTGGACCAATCAGACCATCTCTCTCTGGACTTTTTGGTTTTCTGAGAGGAATCAAAAGACAGAAAATGGTTGGTCCGAAACTTGCCTAGGGATTATTGGTGCTTATGCATCCCCAGAGAGCTGTTCTGGTTCCTGTCCTCATTGAGATGGGCCCTCCAGCTTCCAGACCAATTTTGTGAGCTCTCCCATTTTCCTTGAATGAATTCCTTTCTTGCTTAAATTAGATTCTGTCCCATCCAAATAACTTTGATGGATCTACTAAGTTTGATTGGGAACCAGACATCTCTTGGTACCCAAAGGCTGAGGTGTGGTTTTCACAAATCACAAGGAGCAGGGTCAAGCGAGGCATCGATTGATTGACTTCTAGGGGAAACTTCTTCCCCATCATTCTACAACATGAGTCATCCGTACTGCAAAACCTCTTTGCCTTATGTATTACCTGGAAAAAAACCTGTTTCCCCTTCATTCCCCTATCTAGAATGCTGCTTTTCTCTTCTCTGGCTGGCAAACACCTAAAAGCCCTGTTGACATGTCAGTTTGTCTGTGAGCTTTTCTCAGCCTTCTCTGTGTTTCCCCACTGACTTCTCCGGTTCCTTCATCATTGTGCTCATACTGCAGATGACTCCAATTTATTATATGACAGGTGCGTGTCTTCCCTGTGGACGTCACCTCTGTAGAGACCAGGGACTCCAGTTATGTTCTTTCGGTCCTGTGTGACCTTGGATAAGTAGCTTTTCTGAGGTCAAGTTCCTTGTCTGTAAACCTCCCAGGTTGTGATGGGGATTTGGTGAAATAATATAGGTCAGTATTTCTCAATCTTTAGTCATTGAACTATCACTGTTTCTGCCAGAGCTGTCTGCACCTGCCCTATTCTTTACATTGACTCACTTTTTACTTGTAAACATTTACTTAGGAAGGAATATACATTTAATCAGCACCATTATTGAACCATTATTAACACTTGCTAAAAACAGGTTATTGAAAAATAATATGCTAAAAACAAAACTATGCCATTAAATTTTATCTGGAGATGATTAGCTTCTACCTGTGGTCTTTATTCAAGAGAATGTTTAGCAAGTGTTAAGTGTTAAAGACCCAGTGGCTTTCAAGAAAGCCTTTCCCTCTGTGTTTAACAGGAAGAATGATTCAATATTATTTAATACCCTGTCTGTCTAGTACCTAACATTGGTTTCTTTAGCGCATTTTGATAAGCACTGCTAGGTTAAGTGTTTAGCTCGGTGCCTGGCATGGGGTGAGGGTCAGTCCACAGAGACCTTGTCCTGAGGCTGCACTGCAAACATTGCATAAGGGCTGCTTGCTTTACTCCTATCAACCTCTGCTTCTCTCCTAACTACTCCAGTCGTAACTGTATTCATAAAACCAAAACTCAATTTACTACTTTTTGGATAAGCCCATGACGAGCTTGAAAACAAAATGCTGTTGCGTGGGGCTTGCAGAAAAGAGACGGAAAAGAGGCGTAACTCTGTGAGGAGCCACCGCAGAGATCAGGGACAGAGGAGGCTCCAGAGCCAGCTGGCCCTATGTGGCTGAGGATCTAAGATCTTCCCTGGGGAGAGGGGAGGGAAATTGGAAAACAAAGAAAACCAAGAGGGTGGAAGAGTGCATTGAAATTGAGAGGTAGACCACAGAACAAGGAAATGGCAGGCTGAGAGGTAAGGGGACACCAGGAATCTACTGGAAGCCCATCATCTTATACCTTCTCCTTTTGGGACCACTGTTCCAGCACATCTGCAGCAAAGTTAAAGTTTTTAGGTAACGACCTCTCACAGCGATGGATGGCTTCAAAGTCAGTGAGAGTCAGAGGTGTCCAAAGCTGGTGATGTTTGTGAAGGTGCCGGCCAGGTGGCTTGGTGAGCCGGATTAATCTAAATGTCTGGTAGCAGAAAATATTCTTCATGGTTCCCAAAGGACTTTGTGCCCTGCTTACGGACACAGAAGTACTACAGCCTGTAGGGAGAGATGGGTGGAGACTATCAGTCTCTCGATGCTCTTTGGTGACATTGGGAGGTGGATTTCTGGCTGTGTGTCCCTAGCAAGTTGGGGAACACCTGAAAAACACCCCATCCTTCCTTAGAGCTGCTGCCATTAGCCACAGACGGGTCTTCCTGCCACTGGGCTCTTGACCAGCTGAGTCTAAAACAACCCCTCAACGACAGAATTGTCAGGCTCCCGTCTTCTGTTCCTATCTTCGCCCCAACAAAACAACAGACAAATAGAAACTTTGCTGTCTCGATTGGCTTTCAAAGCCTCTTCTCAACTGCATTATACAGAGTTCTGTGTCTGCCAACTCCTCTACCTGAATTTCCTCCCCCAGTAGAAGCGGCCCGTTCGCTTGTCATGAATGTCTACCTCCCCCACTAAGAGTTGGCATGTCATTTCCCTTGCTCCTGCTTACCCTGTTCAACTTCCCATTGCGATCGCTTGGAAACCTGGGTTTACGTCCTGGCTCAGCTACTTTCTGGCTGTAGGACTTTAGGTACTTACTTATCTTCCTGTACCTCAATTTTCTCATCGGTAAAATAGGGGAAATTATAGTACCTCCCTGCTAGGGTTATTGTGAGCATTTAATAAGAGGATATACTCGTTAGTGTATAAAATGCCTAGCTTGTCAAAGGTGAGCACTTTGAAGTGCTCATGACTGCTGCTGTTTTTCCTTTGTTTGATTTTTGCTTCTGATTAAGAAACAAGGTCTTGCTCTTTTGCCCAGGCTGGCACAATCATAGCTTACTGAAGCCTCAAAACTCCTGGGCTGAAGCAATCCCCCTGACTAAGTGCCCGAGCAGCTAGGACTACAGGTGCCACATCACCATGCCTAGCTAATTTTTTTTTTTGGATAGAGATATGGCCTCACTATGTTGCCCAAGCTGGCTGGTCTCTGGCTCCTAGCCTCAAGTAACCCTACTGCGTTGGCCTCCCAAAGTGCTGGGACTGCAGGGATGAGCCACTGTACCCAGCCAACTACTGCTGTTGCTAAGATTATTCTCCTTAATGTTATCGTGGCATAGTTTTATTTTCCAAAATCTTACCATATGAACCAGAAAACTTGAATTTTACTTCTCTTTCAAAAAGTGCTTTTAACATGGAGAAAGTTGCCTGCTCTTTCTGAACTGCCATCTGTAATCTAATTAATTGTTTTCCTAATTTTGTGTTTATTTCTTCCTGGCATTTTCCATAACATGCACTTATGCTACTCATGTGACAGTTTTCTACCTTGCATTATCAATGATAGTTTTTCATATATGTGCCCTGTCTCCCTGCCCATCTGGTATGAGTTGAGGCTATGTAATGCGTTCTTAGCACTAAGCATGACTCACAGAAGATGTGCAATAATAAAAGGCAGTTTTTACGTTCCTGGTATAGGCAGGCACTTTTCATTTCTGATGTCATTCAATATTCATGACAAGCTTGTGAAGCTCGTGCCATTGTTATTTCCATCTTACAGATGACAACCCTCAGGCTTATGTATACTTAAGGAACTTACCCAGGGTCATTCAGCTCGAGACAAACCATGTCTTACCTCCGCCACCAGGAGCTGAATGACTCACCAAGACAGAGACAAGGTTTGAACTGCGCTGGTCTGACTTCAGAGCTTGCCTACTCAGCTTCTTTGCTATTCATTCTCCTTTTCACTGCCTTCTTCCATAAAGGCTTCTTGTTGATGGCGAACACCGTCACCCTTTTGCCCTTCAGGCCTATGTAGTTGTTTTGCACGGAGTGGAAAAATCTGCAAGTGTAAGGAGTGCCTGAGTCTGCAGCATGGTGATAACACGTAAACAACAGAACGGAGGGTGCAGGTGTGCCATCATCCCTCACTGCTGTTGTCAAGTCCTCCGTGCTGCTCAGAGGGACTCTTGGATAAGTGGTAGGTCCGTTTGGTGCAAACACAATTTGCTGTGTTTCAGGAAAGGCTATTCCTGGCAATACTGTTGATGTTAAACTCTCTGTTATGCCAAGGTAAAAAAGAAGAGGGATGGTGCCTTCCCTGGGAAATTCTCTGGAAGCATAGTGCAGTTATCAAGAGTAAAGAAGAGGGAGAAAGGAGAAACAGAGTGGACCAGGTTCTTGGTTTAGCATTCTGCCAAAAGGGAGACTCCCATCCCTCTCCTAAAACACACACACACACACACGCCCCACTTGCATCCACACTTGCTTCTCTGGAAAAGGTTGCTTAACATCTCCAAGTCTCATTTTCATCTGTGCAATGCGAATAATAACACCTTCTTCACCAACTAGTTGCAAGGTTTTAGTGAGTACCTTAGCACAGTGCATGGTCCGTGGCTAGGCATAAATCAGTGCTGCTAAAAATCAAACCTCAGAACCATTTGTGGCAGAAGAACCAATGACATATAAAGAAACCTAGAAAAGCTATTGGATTGGGAGGCTGGGTACAGTGGCTCGCCTCTGTAATCCCAGCGCTTTGTGAGGCTGAGTTGGGTGGATCACTTGAGGTCAGGAGTTCGAGACCAGCCTGGCCAACGTGGTGAAACCCCAACTCTACTAAAAATACAAAACTAGCTGGGTGCGGTGGTGGGCACCTGTAATCCCAGCTACTCAGGAGGCTGAGACAGGAGAATCACTTGAACCTGGGAGCAGAGGTTTCAAAGAGCTGAGATTGCGCCAATGCACCCCAGCCTGGGCAGCAGAGTGAGACTCTGTCTCAAACTACAACTTAAAAAAAAAAAAAAAAAAAGAAGAAGAGAAAAAGAAAAAAAAAGAAAAGTTATTAGATTAGAGCCTCTAAGGTATCTTATTTCTGCCTCTTACAATGCCCTGTCACTATGCTCCAGGCTCTGGGGGCTGACCTGAGCCTCCCTCAGTCTGAAGCAGTTTAGCTTTCATTCCTTTCTTGGTCTCAGTTTAATGATGAAATTTTGTCCTGTCTTGGTCTCAGTTTAATGATGAAATGGAAACACTTCCAAGATGGGGGAACCTGGAACATTCTCGCTTCCTAAGGAGAATAGTACAGAGGATACAGTGGATCATTTTTAATGTAAATCTCCCCATCCCCTCTAAATTGAAAAATAATTTTTTTAATGAATTGCTTTTTTGTTCCTTGCTTCCATGGACAAATTTTCTAAATCATAATAAAACATCCAATTAATATACCGACAACTCTAAAACTAAATGTAAACAGATCAGATCTGAATATACATTTCGGCATTTCCTGTGTTGTATATATAAACAGAGTAAAATAGATATTGCATATGCAAACCTAATCATTAGTAATGAAATATACATCAAGATATTATAAAGTAGAATTTTTCAATCAAACTTTAAAATCGTTTTGCCAATAACATTACCTCTTTTTTTTTTTTATCACTTTCGTCTGCATTTGATTTCCAGATTAGATTTGGAGTGTGAATAGATCTTTAAGGAGATCACAAAACTCTGAAGAGCTGCCATTTTGCATTGGACAGAACCATTTCCTGACTTAGGCTTTTGTGGAAGGCTCATGTGATTCCAGGGCCAAATCTGACAATCACTGACTATTTTAGCTCAAAACCTTATCTTCATTGAAATTGTATATAAATTAATGTAACAAAATATCTCCAGAAAATGTCTGTAAAATTAAGTGTCAAACTAGATGATTGAAACAATTTTAGCGATTTCCAGAGTGTTAAGGGAAACCTTAACAGTGAAAATTGGTGTGCGGTCATGTTAAATACTTCCCTATAATATATTTCAACAGCGACAAGAGGTGGGTATTTTATTTTACGTATAGACAATTTATTATTCTATGCATAAGGTCACTGAGGTACTGAGAGGTAAGCAACTTATAAAAGCCATCCATACAGCAAGCAGCAGAAATTCCAGCCCACCTGGGTTGGCTCCAAAGCTATGCAAGGAAATGCGACCGGGTTTTTACTACATTTCTACCAACCTTAATAAAGTAGGAGAACATTTTATTTTCCTGTCAGAGGACAGTTTTCTAGGGTTGGGTCTGCAATCATCCAATGATGGCAAGACAATGTGCCTCTTTCTCTCACGCTTGTTTCTTTTTTTTTTTTTTTGGTCTGGGGAACAGGGTCTCACTCTGTCACCCAGGCTGGAGTGCAGTGATGATTATAGCTCTCTGCAGCCGGGACCTCCCAGGCTCAAGCAATCCTCTCGCCTCTGTCTTCTGAATAGCTGGGGCCACAGGCACGAGCCATCATGCCTGGCTAATTTTTAAATTGTTTGTCTCACCATGTTGCCCAGGCTAGTCTCTAGCTCCTGGGCTCAAGAGTCCTCCCACCTTGGCCTGCTAAAGTGCTGAGATTACAGGCACGAACCCACACACCCGCCCAACATGCCTTTTCTCTTACTCCTGCGGTACTTTCCCAACTTCTCATTGACAAGCATCACTCCATGATGCCAGGTGACTTGTTTCCTTACCAGAGAATGGTGTTCGTGATCCAGAAAGTCCGTTAACTCCTTCACAGAGACTTAGTTCTGTACCTGCCAGAAAATCAGTTCCTTTCTTCTTTTCTTTTGGTGGCATCTATGCCATTGTAGCCCTAAGTCTCTGGTGTGCAGGTGGAAGGATCATAATCCCCTGGGAGGAGAGTTTTTGTTTCTCTGGACTACCTGTGGTTAAGGTGACAGCAGCTTATAAGACACAGCTGGGAAGAGAGAGGCGGTACAGGGGCAACCTCCTCTCATAGGTCAGTGCCGAACAATGGCTAAGCCCCGGTGCATTTGCCGATTATTTTCATTCATAGAGCTGAAGAGACAGTGATCCACCTTGGTCCAGTGGACTTTATCAGAGTCTCGCAACAGTGTGATCGAGTAGCCCAAGACGTTGGCATGCTTGATTAATGTGACATAACTGGATCTGGCTGGCAAACCTACCAGAGTAGTACGGCCAAAATATCATATGGGAAGCCTCAACTCACTGATTAGTGAAGATTATGAGAAACCCTCCAAACTCCTGACTTTTACTGAGCATCTGCTGTGTGCCTGGCTGCTTCTGGATATCTGTTCTATTGTTAGCTCATTTGGAAATTATCTAAAGACAATGTTGCTGACTGGTTTGAACATAAACTTTGCCGGTCTGTGTCCTTGTGGATGTCAGTTTCACAAAGTCTGTGCCCAGATGTTGCTTGTTGGTGACAGTGATGGTGACAATGGTCAGACAATGG